GCAGAGTCCCGCTCTGCCCCTCCCGCTCACCCCCTCCAAGCCCTGCTCTTCCCTCCCCATCACCCCCTCAGAGCCTCTCTATGCCCCTCATCCTCACCCCTTCCGAGCCCTGCTCTGCCCCTCCCCCATCACCCCCATCCGAGCCCTGCTCCCTCCCCCTCAACACCCACATGCTATCACTGTTCAATTACAGGCCAAGGCCCAATTCTGCTTCCAGTAAAATTAACAGCCTGTCCCCCAGGCTCTGATTGTCCCCTTGCACTGATGTAAATCATCAGTGACCACTGAAATCAGTCGCCCTGGTCTCCCAGGCCTGGTCCTGCTCTCACTCAGCCTGGTGTACATCCGGGGTAACGGCACTTTCGCCAATGGCGTCCCTCACCTGGCTGATCCCCCTGCCCGAGGCAATGATTATTTCTAACGTGGCCAGGCTGGTTTTCTGGACCATTTTTTCCAGCAGCCCCCCCAGGGGAAGGCTGCGCATTGGACGCTCCTGGAAAAGATGAGCACAGGGTCACTCTCTGCGTGGGGGAGCAGCTCCCATGCCTGGGAGGTCGGGGGGAGGGTGACACTCGGCATGGAGTGGCGGGAGGGTCCTGACGGCATCTCTGGGGCGAACCCATTAGCCAGGGATCTGGGGGTGAGTGCGTTCCATGCCGGGGACGAGCTGGCCAGGACTGGTTGTAAGTGGCAAAGTGCAATTTGCACCAATTTGACACTGGGGGGAGGGACTCACATGCCATGGGGATGGAGGTGAGTGGCAGGAAGAGCAACTAGTGGGAGGGGAGAAGGGGGGTGAATCCAGGTCTGATGGGCAGAGAGCTGACCTTGCCCCTTACCAGCGAGTTGGCCGACACAGCAAGCTGCAGGGCAATGTAATTGAGAGGCCATCCCTCCACCTTATCCAGGTACCCTGCTGAGACCAGGGTGCCAATGGCCTGCACGACAGCCGCCCTCACCTGCAGGGCCAGGAGGAGACACTGTCACTGGTGGTGGTGAGATATAGGGCGAGACGGCTGGCAGAAGCACAGGCACCAGCGTGTCCCTGCAGCAGTGCTGGGCACTGTCCCTGCACAGACCAGCACTAGGCCCCGCTGGGCCGGAGAAGGAGACGGACAAGTTCCTGATCTCATGATAGCGTGTGATTGGCAAATCAACAGGCAAACACAGCCACCCTGGAACGTTGTGTCCCCTCACAACGCCACAGTAAAAACTTTCTGGTCACAGTGGGAAAGCGTGGAGTTTAAGGATGAAATATTGTATAGAACATGGGGAAACCAGTGGGTGATGGGTACAGGTATCCGCTGCTTGTACCAGATAGACTGAAAAAGGAGGTGCTGAGGTTATGTTATGGTCTCAAAACGGTTGCACATACTGGGGTTGCAAAAACCTTAGCCAAGCGAAGAGAGACTTTCTATTGAGTAAAATGCAGGCAGGCGGGAGAAAATTGGTGCAGGAAATCATAGAAATCACCGTGGAAATCTCAGGTCGGAAGGGACCTCAAGAAAGCATCAAATCCAGCCCCTGCGCCGTGACAGGACCAACGTGCATAGCAAAGAAGGGTCCCTCTAGAACTGGGAGAGCCCCTTTGCTGCACTAGCTCGTGGTGGCACCAGTGGAATGAATTGCCACTGACTGTGCTGGGCCCTGGCCGGAGACAGAGGCAGGCAGGCAGTCTCTGCAGGTAGCGAAGGATTGGCCTGAGGCTTACCCAATAAGAACTCAAGGAGCTGGGACAGTAGTAGGGGTCCTAGGGACTGGATTCTTTACTGGGTTTGGGCCCGGGTGTGCTACACACAGATCGAGGGAGGAACTTGGAATCCAGCTTGGTGAGATTCGAGGGTTCCACAAACTCACCCCAGCCCAGCCCCAGTCTGACAGAGCGGTGGAAAGGTTCAGTGGGACTCTGGAGATCAGCGGGCGCTCTTTGCAGAACAGCACCAAAGGGACTGGGACCAGCCCATTCCTTGTGATAGCCTACAGAACAGCCGTCAACTGGGGAGCCCCCTGAGCCACTGGCTCCAGACCCTGCCTCACTGAGCCCCTGGGAGTCCAGAGAGAGTCCCTGCCCCAGGGGGCTAGAGCCGGATTTCCCCTGGAACCCAACGGAGAGCCTGATCTACAGCCCATTAGAGTCAATGGGATCAGGGCCTGAACCTGGTCCCCGCACATGGGGAGGGAGCTGCCTTCAGCACCACAGACAGCTCCTCCAAGCCAGCATCCTTGTGCAGCCGTGCAGGGCTGATGTGCCTACCAGCCCTGCCCTGCTGCCCGCGCTCACCGGACAGGGCCGGATTTGGCTGTGGAAGGCAGCGGGTGATTCAGTGCAAAGGCCAGAACTCAGCAGGGTCTCTCCCTGGGGTCATGTGAATAAAGAGAAAGCCAAATTTCACATGATCAGAAACTAACCAGCACACAACCCTGCCTGGGGCTTGTCTCCCCTCCCCTTGGGTGCCTGTACCTGTGGCCAGCCCCCAGGCCACCTGCCCCCTCGGCTTCCCCAGCAGCCAGTTTATAGCCCCACCATGACACCTGGGCATGGGGAGGGGGAACTGAGCTGGAGTGAACCCCTCAGTGACTAGGCACTAAGGACCCTGCCCTTGGCCCACAGACCCAGATTCTCACTCACCACAGTGAGAACCAAGAGTAACTCACTGAGTCAATGGAGAGATGCTGGTGTGGTTGGGGTGGGAACGGGGCCTGTGACGTTTATGCTGGGTCAGAAAATCTCAGCCTGAGCTGCCCACTCTCTGCCCGCCTCTCCCACACCCAGCACTGCCCGCCTCCCCCACACCCAGCACTGCCCGCCTCCCTCGGAGCCAGCATTGCCCACCTCTCCCACAGCCAGCACTTCCCACCTCTCCCGCACCCAGCACTACCCGCCTCTCCTGCACCCAGCACAGCCTGCCTCACCCGCACCCAGTACTGCCCGCCTCTCCCGCACCCAGCACTGCCCGCCTCTCCCGCACCCAGTACTGCCCGCCTCTCCTGCACCCAGCACTGCCTGCCTCCCCTGCACCCAGCACTGCCTGCCTCCCCCGGAGCCAGCACTGTCCGCCTCTCCTGCACCCAGCACTGCCTGCCTCCCCCGGAGCCAGCACTGTCCGCCTCTCCTGCACCCAGCACTGCCCGCCTCTCCCACAGCCAGCACTGTTGTTCTCTCACCCTGGGACTCCCGTCGGTAAGAACTGATTTCACTGATTTGATGCACAGGTGTTTCCATCTGGCCATCCCCGGAACTGGAAGAGACAAAGACACACAGTGTCACTGAACCAGAGCCACAGACTAGCTCCTCATGGCTTGGGGCAGGATCACAGAGTCCCCCCCCCCATTGGAACAATGTACCCATGTGTCACCAACAAGGCCGCCTGGCGAGGGCTCCCATGCTCATCCTCACTCCCCTCCTCCCCATCTCTGAGTGCCCCTTGCAAGCTGGGCGCAGGCAGGGGCACCACACCCACACCTGTTCCCAGCTATGGCTGGGGCAGGCAGGCTCACCGTCATTGTCCGAGTGTGCAGAGCTTTGGGGTGTGTCTGCCCAGCACAGCATGGGAGCACGGGGGGACTGTCCATTGCTACAGGGAGCAGGTCACGCCCAGGGCCCTGCAGCCAGACCCATGGGCCCTGAAGCTGCAAAGCGGGCCCCGTGCTGCACCAGGTGCTCGCACTGACATGATATAAGGGGAAGTCTCTGAGCTCCTACCTTCAGCACCAATAATGTATGACATCAGGGCCAGGATCCCCACACGGGTATCTCCCCTGCCCATCTCCAGTTTTCGATGGAAAATCCCCAGCAGCTCTGATGGATGGGAACGGGCTACAGGGAATAGGAAGCAGAATGATGGACAGTAAGGAGTGAGCTCTCCTCTCCCGTGCTGAATCAGGGATCCTGACCCAGTAGCTGGAGCTTCGAGGCACCCCATGCACGGCTCGTCTGGGCTGCAGCCTCTCACCACCACCCGCTTACCGAGTTGCAGGAAGACGTGGGAAATCTCCGTGTGGTTCTCCCTGCAGAGCCGATAGGGCCGCTGCGCTTTGGAAGTGACCTGCGAGGAGATGGGAACAGGTCAGAGGAACCTGCTCGCTCAAACAGGAACCTCCCAAAGGGTCCAGGGCCCGATTCTGCAACTCCTCAGACTCCAGTGCAGAGTCACACTGATGGGGCTGGGAGTAGGATTGAGAACCGGATTGGGCCATGTGACCATCACAGACACTTAAGAAGTAATGGCAAAGGCCCTGTGGTACGTACTGGGTATGACATAGCCAGAGCCCTGAGAAGGGACTAAAGGGCCTGATCCTGCTCTCACTTATACCAGGGTAAATCAGGAGAAACGCCCCTGGACTCCACACAAGAGAGGAGAACTGGGCCCACAGACACTAAGGGCCTGATCCTGCGAGGTGCTGAGCGCTGTCGACTCCGGCTGTATGGAATGCTGAGGGCACAGGGAGGTCTCCAGTACAGGGGGCGGGGAGCACTGTGCACTCTACGGATGCCCTGAGATCTACTGGCCCCAGCACACCCATGCCAGCTCCACTTCCCCATACCTGGTAGCTCAGCGTATGGGAGATGGCCTCCACATGCACCTCTGGGATCGGGTTGTTGGAGGAAGAGGCCTGCAAGATCTGTCCCAGAACCTGCAACAGACGGAGAGATGTCAGGCAGAGCCGGCACAGGGGAGCAGCAGGTCCCAGCTGCACTGACATCAACTCATCAGCCACAGAGGTGTCTGCTTCACCCCTGGCTGAAGGCTCTGGGGAGAAAGGAGGTTCTCATCACCCTGGAAGGGTGGTGAAGGGGGGAATTCTGCTTAGTGCAGAAGTCCAGATTCTGCTCTGACCCTGGGGCAGCAGCTCACTGGCCATGATGGAGTCACTCCTGCCTGACATGGGTGGGATTGGGGAATTGGGCCCCTGGGCTGCCGGAGCCCCAGATCTGAGCAGCCCTGACACATGGACTGTTGGAGTTCTGGGTCCTGGTCCAGAGTCGGCCTCTCAGCCAGCCCTTCTCCACACAGCGAGAGCCTCAGCGCTCTGCAGCCTGGGTGCTGGCTGGGTGTATGCTATGCATACTTGTGGAGCTGGTGAGAGACCTCCTTCCCTTCCTCCCTCCCTGGCTACTTTGCACAAACCTGACTGGCTGGGGGGAGTGCCACTCGAACACACAGCATTAACTCTGACCCTGGGGGTGAGGGGTTGAACGAATGGTGTGGGGTAGCCTGGGAAATTTGGAAAGAAAACAGAGAAGCTGCAGGACAGGAGCCCTGAGCTGGGGCAGGGTGGGAGCTGCTGGCAGGAGAGGCGGCTGCTGGCAAAAGGGGATTTGTGTAAACTCTCAGCCTTCAGCAGACAGGAGCTGAGACCAGTAACCGACCCACCACGCTGAGCTCACCCAGCCCGCCAGCACCACCCACAGCATGGGCTGGCTGGGCTGACCCCAGGGGGAGGGGGTTGCATTGGCACGGGGCAGAGAGTCTGTGTGAGTCGAGCCTGACGTGCGGGGGGTGGGGAGGCAGCTGTTTTGCTGTAAGCTTTGCTGTGTAACCCCTACTGGGGATCCTGGCCTGGGTCTGCTCCGGGCTTTGCCCGGGTCACAGAACAGTATTGTGCTGTTGTGACATGTGGTGGTCGTTCCAGGGGTTAACTCTGACCCCCTAGGAGGGGGGTTGGTGTTTGCGCAAAGGCATGTGGCGGAGACCTGGGACCCCTTCCCAGCCCTGGGAACCCCCATCCGACATACTGCAGCTGATCTGACAGCTCACTTGCCGGCCCACGGAGCCTGCAGGGGGCTGCCATAGTCCATGGGCCCTGCAGGGAGCGCCCCCCCACCTCCTCACCTTGGTGATGTAAAAGGCCTCGATGTTCTCCCCATACTGAGCCAGGAGCAGGGGGATGTCCCCGTAGATCTGGTTTTGCAGATCCTTCCTGGGCAGCAGGATGTTCAGCATAGGCCCCAGGGCCTGGAGGACAGCCAGTTTGACCTGTCCAGAGATGGGTACAGGGGTGACTGCTGGCTTGGTCCCCTGCGGCTCAGTCACTCGGCACTACTCACTGGATCCAGTACTTCTCCTTCCAGCCCTGGCTCAGGCACCGAGAGGGGTAGGGACCAGCCTGAGAAGCAGGGAGACCAGTTTGGCCTCTAGGTTGCAGGAGGACATTGGCCAAGGAACCCTGGCTCTTAGCCCATTGCTCAGCCCTCCACCCCCACAGCCCCTAGCATCCGGTGACATTACCCACCCCAAGACAGGAGAGATTTCCACCTGGGGTCTGCTCCTTACAAAGGGGCCAGAGGCAAATGGGCTTATGGGTGAGATGCAGAGCGAGCGACCCGTGGCCACATCACCTGTGCAAGCCCCTCACCTCCATGTCCTCGCTGGGCAGCCAGGCGCTGATGAGGTCCTGGTACATGGGGAGCAGGTATGCAGAGAAGCGCTGGAGCGTGATTTGTGGATAGGTGCTCCTCTCCCAGCTCCTCAGGTAAGTGCTGATTGCCCCACACATGCACTCCAGGGCTGGGGGGGGGCAAAGGGCAGCTCAGTCCAGGGTGAGACATTGTTCATTACAGAGCAGCTCCAACTCTGCCACTCTCAGGAACTTCAGTCTCTGCAGGGGTCATTTCCCACCTACCCCCCTGTGCGCCGGGGTCCATGCTGCAGACTCCGCCCCCCGCCTCTGGGGTCCATGCTGCAGACTCCGCCCCC